AGGGATAGCAATCTACATAAAAGATAGCTTTGACGCTAAACCAATCAAACTCACAACTATCAAAGCAATTGGAGTTAGAGTCACATACACAATTTCTTTTTCAATTTGCAATATTTACATTCCACCCAATAAAAACCCGATTCAAAAGAAATTTTAAACCTATTAAATCAACTACCTGCTCCACGGATAATAATTGGAGATTTTAATGCACATAATCCGTTATGGGGTTCAACAAAACTAACATCTCTAGGTTGAAAATTTCAAACAACTTAAAATACGAAACACCGCTAATAGAAAAATTATTTTAAAGCAATAACAGATTATGCATTTGAATGCAAAATTCGCAATGATGTAATAGGGACATTATGTAACAAGGGAATCCCCGAATTGCAAAGGCTCACTTTTCTAGTTAATATTTATTTAAAATAGTTAATGATATAAAAATAATCTGCATAAAAAGGGGTCTTACTTTACTGTGTTACAAATTATATAACTATGAGACTATAATAAATTCTATTGCCCAAAATAGACTGTGAATTCACCATATCAATAATTTGAGTAGTCCACTTGCAAACATCGCTATGTGTATGAAGAATTAATTTGAGTAAAGTAAACAATACATTTAATTCTTAATCCAAGTAGAAAATAAATATTTTGTAAATTAAATAATTAAGTTTTTTAAATATAAACTCCAACATCCATGATGGTAGGTTCCATATTTTTGAAGGATTTGCCCCTTTTACAAACATTTCCGTAACTCAACAGCTCAGATGCATAGTGTGTCTCTCCTTTAATGGCAATTTTATTATTTGTATCCCTTCTTAAAAATAATCTCTTAGAGGTCTTGAATTGAAAATGCCATGAACCAGGTCTTCACTACATATTTAACGGTAGTTTTCCAATCATAGAAATTAAAATCGGCATGGAGCCTTACCGTACCATATTTCTTAAAAATATCGAAGTATGTGTCAGGTTCGACGTTGACTTCAATAGATCGTATTTCTCTTTCCATATTTCCAAAAACTCGGTCAGGGGGTAAAAAAGAATGTCTACTAAGTTGCCTACTAAATTAAGCACTCTGATCAGGCACTTTCGGTAAAACCAAATTTTTTTGGTGATGATATGTCGAAAGAAGATAGACCACAATTTAAAGACAGCAACGAAACACAAAATATAAATATTTTAACTTCGCTCATACGAATAACAACGAAAGAAGTGGAAGATGTATGTAGATTTCTAAAAAATAACAAAACACCGGGTCCAGGTAACATCCCTGCAGAGTTAATTAAACACAGTACAACCAAACTATATACAAGTTTAGCCAAACTGTTTCAAAACTGCATTAATGGAATGACAACCATAGAGGAGATGATCAACTAGTGATAGCACAGGACTATGAAGATATTGAGTATATGACTCGAAAATTAATCAAAGAGTATACAAAATGGGAACTTGAAATCAGTATCTAAAAAACCGAGTATATGTGTATCGGCGGGAAACAACAGAACCTCATATTAGAAAATTGAGAAGTTATCAAACATTGCAACCCATATAAATATTTAGATATGATCATCATAAAAAAAGGCAACGTAGACGATACAATTGAGAAGAAAAACAATCAAGCAAGAGAAGCAATTTCCCTTCTCAATAGTATCCTTTGGGATCAATTAATCTCTAATAATAACAAGCATAAGATATATAATACATTCATTAAAAGTATAATTACCTCCAATAGTCATCATCATCATCTAGCCGAATTTTCACATCCATTGTTGGATATAGGCCTCCTCCAAACGTCTCCAGTTCTCTCTATCTCTAGCTGCTGCAATCCAGTTTGTTTCTATCCTCCTTAGGTCGTCGGTCCATCGGGTGGGTGGTCTGCCTCGACTTCGCTTGTCTGCTCTTGGTCTCCACTCCAATAATCTCTTCGTCCATCTTCCGTCTTCCATTCTAGCAACATGTCCAGCCCACCTCCACTTTTGTTTATTGATTCGCAGTATAATATCATCTACGCCAGTTCGTCGGCGTATCTCCTCATTTCTTACGCGATCTTTCAAAGTCAGGCCCAGCATTGATCTCTCCATTCGCCTTTGTGTTACCCTCAGTTTTTCGGCAGTAGCTTTCGTTAAAGTTAAGGTCTCTGCTCCGTAGGTCAAGACTGGTAAGATGCATTGGTTAAATGCCTTCCTTTTTAGGTGAATTGGGATATTTGTTTTAAAAATGTCTCTCATCCGTCCATATGCCCCCTATCCCAACATAATTCGTCTATTTAGCTCGCAGGTTTGGTTGTCTCTGGTTATTCTAATTTCATGACCCAAGTATGTGTATTTATCTATTAATTCTACCTTGTTGTTATTGATCTGTATCTCTTCGCTGGGAACCATATTGGTCATCATTTTGGTTTTCTCGAAATTTATCTCCAGCCCAGTTTCTTGTAGTATGTCATTCAGTTCTTGGAGCATGTCTTTGATCTCTCCCAGATTATCTGACAGAAGCACGATATCGTCCGCAAAACGTAGATGGTTTAATCTTTCTCCATCGATGGATATTCCTTTCTGTTGCCATGTTAGATTTTTAAATGCATACTCAAGAACGGTAATGAACAGCTTTGGTGACATGGTATCACCTTGCCTGACTCCCCTTTTTATCTTTATTTTATTAGTTGCAGAATATAGACTTATGGTTGTTGTGGCATTTTCATATATATATTTTTAATTATATTACAATATCTGTGGTCGATCCTGCAATCTTGTAGTGCTCTTAAGATGGACGGTAGTTCCACTGTATCAAACGCCTTTTTAAAGTCTACAAATATCAATGCCAAGGGACGGTTATATTCGTTAGTTTTTTCTATTAGGGTTTTTAGGCACTGCAGGTGATCGTTTGTGCCGTAATTAGGGCGGAAACCAGCTTGTTCCCGAGGTTGGTTAAAATCCAACTTTGTCTCTAATCTATTCGTTATTATTCGGGTGTATAATTTATAAAGATGGTTAAGGAGACTGATTGGTCTGTATCTTTCCAGGTCTGCTATATCTCCCTTCTTGTGTAAGAGTACAGTTATTGAATTATTCCACTTTGTTGGGATATTTTGATTCCATGGGCATAGATTAACGAGCTTTTGAATTTTGGCTATCAGTACTGAGCCTCCTATCTTTATCGCTTCCGTGACGACACCGTCCTCCCCCGGAGCTTTGTTATTCTTCATCTTTTTTAGGGCCTTGTAAATTTCGTTCAAGGAGATTTCTGGAATATCTTCGGAATCCTGATTTTGAACCTTCTTCTGTTGATATTAAACTATATCTAGAGTCGATTGGTTGCTATATAATGTCTCATAGAATGATTCCACAATTTGTAACAAATGTTCTCTGTTTGATGTGATGTTGCCATTTCTATCCTTGAGTTTGACTATTTGTTTATTTCCATTTGTGAGTTTGCGTCTCATTATTTTCATACTCTTATTTTCCTCAATGGTTTTGATGATTTTCTCATCTTTGTATTTTCTTAAGTCTTTTCTGATTTCTCTTGATACTTCCTTGTTCATTCTATTTATATCGTCGTTACTAGAGTTTTCGTCGCTTCTCAGTATTCTTCTTTGTTCCATTTTTTGCTGTGTTTCCAGACTAATTTTTTCTTCTTTCACGCTTTTTGGGCAGCATTTCTTTTGAGCTTCTGTTATTGCTTCTACTATTATGTCATTTAGAATGTTAATATCATTTGTTGATGATTTTTCTTGAAGGAATTTACCGATATGATCTTCAAAATTTTGTTCGTTGTTTGGATGTGTCCATCTGTTTATTTGCTTCTTTTTTATCATATTGTGTCGTTCATAGTTGGTATTTAACACAATGGTGGCTCTCACCATACGATGGTCGCTTGATTTCGCAAATTTCTTTAGCACTGTCACATCTGTAAATATGTATCTTTTATCAGTGATAAAGTAATCGATCTCGTTTGTCGTGTTCCCATCTGGGCTTTTCCACGTCCATCTACGGTGAGGTTTCTTGTAATAGTAACTGTTCATTAGGAATAGGTTTTTCTCTAGTAGGAAGTTTAAAAAAGTGTCGCCACGGTCGTTCCGTCCCTGACTTCCAAAATTTCCAAGAGCAGCTTCTGCTGGATCCAGTTTTGTTCCTATTTTGGCGTTAAAGTCTCCACATATAACTGTGAAATGTGTGCGGTTGTTTGTGATGGCTGTACTTAAATCATCATAAAAGACTTCGATCTCCTCGTCTGTATATTCTGTTGTTGGAGCATAGACTTGAATAACTTTTAGATTATATCTAGTATTTATTTTAAAGGTGGCATATGTAACTCTAGTGGATACTGATTGGACAGTTTTTAGATTTCCTGCTAGCTGTTTGTTTATAAAGAATCCGACGCCTCCTACTGACTTATGTTGTTCTCCGTGATAGTAAAACAAGTGACCAATACTCCAATAGTAAAGTATGACAAATAAAGGAAAGGTACAAGAAAAAACTTGAGGCAACGAAAATGGATTTCTGGAGATGTTTAGCTGGAAAATCTAGACTAAAAAGAGTAACGAACAACAGAATATGATAAATTATGAAAGTAAAATATACAATAGTAGACGATATTGGTATCCAACAACTCAGGTGGTACGGTCACGTACAGAGAATGTCTGAAGAACGTCTCCTAAAACAAGTCTTAATGTGGACTCCTCACGGTAGAAAAAAAAGGAAGACCTCGACTTAGTTGGAGAGAAGGCATCAATAGAGAAATGACAGACAGAGACACAGAAGAAGACTTCTGGATGAATCCAGAGGAGTGGCAACTGGGTATCGGAAGACGGGATAGAAGTTTTAAACCGATCTATCTATATACATAATATTCATAATTCATGACTCAGAGGGTTTCATTAGCGATGATTTTATTTCGCAGAATTTTTAAACAAACAAAGATTTGTGTACATTACTATTTGACTATGATAAGATAAGATGTGCAATTTTTTCTTTAAAACATTAAAACGTAAGATTCGTAGGATGCAATGTACAAGTCTACTGAAATATAATAAGCATTTGGCTCGAACACAAACACTAATAATTTTTAAAAAAAATTTTCTGCATTTAGTGGTAAGTAATGTAGTTTATGTTTGCACTGTGTACGTATGCTTCTTACCATAAAAGGACAGGCCGTTCATACTTTTATGAAATGTTTGAAATTTATTTTATTAATTAAATTAAATATATAGTCCATTGAAATGTTACATTTTTATGACTTAGAGGACGTAATTTTATGATTTTTTGACGTGTTGGGAGGGTAAGTATAAGCTTAAGGTCAAGTTTGTGGGGTCACTAACCTAGTTCACCGGTCGTCATTTTTGAAAAAGAGGGAAAGAGTTTTCGCGCTATATCTCGTACACTAGCAACCCTGCAAATTAAATTGTCTAAATTCATTTCTATTACTTTAAATCGTAAATTTGAAAATAAAAAATGTATAAACAAAAATAACTAAATTTTCTTTTAGGTCTTATAACTTTTTTCTGGCAATTTTATAATAAAATGACATTAAAGCAATAACATAGAGGGTTTTTCGTAGAATAATTTTTGCTACAAAATTGTTAATATTAATGTCTCTGGATTTTACAGCGCTACGAAAATGACCGAACCCTATTAGGTTGCGAGGCCGCTCCCGTTGGGAAAATGTTTCTGATTCGGTTTCTTCGCCGATTCCGGTTCAAAAATGTCCCCTTTAAACAAATCTGAAGGGTGCCGGGCGAAATTTTTAGGCAGAAGTTGTTTAAACAATTTTTTTAAACAAAGTCCAAAAATAATTTTTTTTAATCTGGAAAACGTTTTTTTAGGTTTTTTGGGTCATTTTAAACAAAAAAAGTCTCCTGTCATTTTTTTCTAAAGTTGATAGTTTTCGAGTTATAAGCGATTTAAAGGCTGAAAAACGCGAAAATACGCATTTTTGAGGCTTGAAAACACATATGTAAATTATTATTATTTGATGTTACCAAGTGTCTAAATTAAAGTTTAAACATTCAACTTCAAGATTGTGAAGAGTAATCTGGGCTTATTTTAATTTAGACCGTTGTTTTTTAATTGTTAAGTATGCGCGTACACTCGATTTTTCAGCCGCCGCGCGCTACCGTGCGCCTCTATCGTACTTATGCATAGTTTACATATACTTACAAATAATTATTATTTATTGAGTATATATTTATTTATATCAATTGAGTTATAATATAAATTTCGTCTAAAGTCTAATAATAGTTACATAAAATAATTGTACAAAAGATTATTAAATACCACACTAATATCACTCAGTAAAAGTATCTTTGTTTTCACAAAAATCTAAATCACATCCACATAATGGTACACAGTTGACATGATTTTTCTTGCAGTTGCAAGCATTAGTTTTGCAAGTCTTTTTGCATTTGCACGGTTTCAGAACCCACCACTATCAGACATATAATATCCATATTTTGTAAAATCGCATTTCGCCAAATATATGTTTTAGCGAAAGCTCTTAACAAGTGTTGGTAAAGTGCGTCAGAGGTACAAGGTATATTGGCTAGATTAAATTAAATTTTTCAGTCACACTGTCTTTTCGTCGAAGAGCAGCATTTTGTATTGTTATGTAAAAATCTACTTTATGTTTTTGCACTAACTTAATATTGTTGATGTTATTACAAAAAATACAAAACAAATTTTCTTCGGTAAGTTTTCATTTAAGAAGAGGTACGGAAAAAGACATTTTAAATCCATTCACAATTTTTTAATAACACATTAATAATATAATACCCTTTTATTGGGCATTAAACAATAGTCTTCCTAATGATCGTTTAAGTAATAACAAATCAAGTATGAGCGCGCGATTGTTAAACAGGTAAAAACTTGCATGTTTGCGATAGTATATTGTTTTTAAACACCGCGCAATTTAAAATTAAGTTTACTAATATTAATATTTACTTCATTGTATTATTTAAATAATAATTTAAAAATATTATTTACAATTGATATAAATAAATATATACTCAATAAATATTAATTATATTGTTCAAATTTGGAAGAAAAAAAACTATATACGGTTATTACATTGCGATGATTGATTTATTTAATTAGCCCAATGACAATAATTAATACCTACATAAATAAATTATGGAAAAAACTATGTTAATAAACTTCAAGGATTTGTTCGGGTTTTTTGCGTAAGTGTATATGTAAACTATGCATATGTACGATAGAAGCGCACTCTAGCGCGCCGCGCCGCGGCGGCTGAAAAATCGAGAGCTCAATTAAAAAACAACGGTCTAAATTAAAATAAGCCCCGAATACTCTTCACAATCTTGAAGTTGAATGTTTAAACTTCAATTTAGACACTTGGTAACCTCAAAAATAATAATTTACATATGTGTTTTCAAGCCTCAAAAATGCGTATTTTCGCGTTTTTCAGACTTTAAATCGCTTATAACTCGAAAACTATCAACTTTAGAGAAAAATTACAGGAGACCTTTTTTATTTAAAATGACCCAAAAAACCTAAAAAAACATTATCCAGATTAAAAAAAAATATTTTTGAATTTGTTTAAAAAAAATTGTTTAAACAATTTCTGCCCAAAAATTTTGCCCGGCACCCTTCAGATTTGTTTAAAGGGGACATTTTTGAACCGGAATCCGCGAAGAAACCGAATCAGAAACATTTTCCCAACGGGAGCGGCCTCACAGCCTGGACTATACAGAAATTTTTTTTGTTTTATTTAAACATAGAGAACCCACATCAACCACCAAGGGTTATTAGTGGGGGGATATACACAGTAGTATAGTTTGATAAATTAGAGTTTATTATAAATGTTTATGTCTTTTAGAAACTGCAATAAATCCGAGATATTTGTCGTAAGCGCACTTCTCAGGTTTCCAATTCCTCGGCATGTTCTCTGAGGTTGGAACTGCGGACAGTCGATTATCAGATGCTTCACGGTGAGTTGAGTAGAGCACTATGAGAGCAGTAGGTACAAATCGAAGCTGGTTCTTTATTCAGGAGGTGTTGGTGTGTTAGTATTGTGTGGCCGAAGACGATTTACGATTACTTGATCTCTTCTTTTTCCTTGTTGTGGTAGGCTGGCGTCTACTTGAGGCTTTATTGTTTTCAGTTTAGAGTATATTGCGCCCCAGGTTGCTTGCCATAAATTTATTATGGCTCATAGGCTATTATTATTCATAAACTGTCGTTTATGGTCGGTGTGGAGATATTTAGTAATTTCTGGAACATTTTCATTTCTGATGGATTTTAATGCCAATTGATCAACTTCCTCCTTACCTTTAATGGCAATGTGTAAATGTATCCAGATAAATGTAAACCTTTTTATTTATTCAGTGTAATGCATTAAGTTAATTTCTTATATTTTGTGCAATAGGATGGCTAGGGAAAAGTTGATTAATTCCATAAACTGCGCTGAGTGAATCTGTGATGATTAAAATATTATTTTCAGTCGTTGAAGAGGAGTTTTTGTGCTGTGGAAAGTGCTATGGAATTCTAATGGCATATTTGTAATTTTTATTTGTAAAGGCTGCGGCATGGCCATTTTCAGTTTTTGATGCTCTATGTATATTATGTGGTGATTTTGATACTTTTCCATAATTTCTTTGAATGCTGACCTATAAACTGTTGTTTACCTGTTGGAACCACCGTTGTACCGATATCGCCGTCCACAGCTGCACCGATCACGTGTCATGTCAGGGTAATTGTGGACCTCTTCTTAATTACCAAACTATTCTTCTCATACTTTGGATACCGATCGCTAGATGGCGCTTAAAGTGACATGACAAAAACTTCAATGGACAGAGATAAAGTTTAATAAGAGTTTTTGCACATCACAAAAATAAAAATTGCGTCCTCCCAAAAATGTAACCTCAATGTAATTTTTCAATGGACTGATAGTCTTATTTTGTAAATGTTGATTTTTAGAACTCTCAGATTATGCCGGCATAAAGTAAGTACATAAGAATTTTGCGTATGTCATATACTCCATTTTATTTATAAACAGTCATCTGCCTCTCTTTCTCTTACCAGTTGATTTTTACTGTTCTTTCATCCTCCTTACAGGATCTTGACATTTATATTTTAATCTATTCATGCCATTTTAACTTTTCTTCTTACTTAATTTATCTTATTAAGCATTCTCATTTCTGTAACATAAATTTGTTGCTCTGCTTTCTGCTTTTTCAGCGTATCTACGTTACTGCTCGAGCTTTACACCTCATTTTGCAATAAACCACATGCATAATAGCGTATTCCCCATTGGTAAAAATCGTTTTTGTTGAATTGAAATATTTGTGTTTGAATGCCACAAAGTACAAACTAAAAGAGAAACTTCACAAACTGACAATGAAAAACGTAGCTTATACTTCAGTTGATATTTCAAGGCCAACTAATGCAAAAATTAATAATAACTTTCATTATCGTTTGAAAAAACTAAAAATTTTCAAATCGATTTTTGCATCCTATCGACTTAAAATAAGAATGGCTAAGAAACTAACAATCTAATATCCTAAATGCTTAAAAGTTAAAAACAAAAAAGTTATGCCTTAAAATAACCATTGACCTACTCAAAACGGACGCCTATGACCGGTACTAGAAATTAGCAATTAATGGAATCGATTCAACTCTGGTGGATAAATAATCGTACTAGTTTTCGTTTTTCTAAAAAGAAGCGTTCAGGAGGGATTAAAAAAAAACTTATTGCAAGCAGCCATCTTCAAAGAGCACTAAACCATATTCATTTAACAGAAAAGTCGAGATCAACAAAAGCATGCACAGAACACGTGAAACCTGATGTTTATATAATCGTACAGGGTTGCATTAAGATTCTAGCAGTCTATAACATCTGAATTTGAAATGAATTAATTTATAATTTTTAGGATTACTGTTAAAATAATACTAATCGATGATTAATCTTCCAAAGAAGTATATTAGTTTTTATAAACTGTCATTCACACATCATTAGTTAATTGTGGTATTAATCAAAAGGCAAAAATAGAAAGTTTTTTTTTATACATTTTACGCTTTAAGACCAATATTTGGAAATAAGTAATAATATTATCATTAATGATATACAAAGAGACCTC